ATTCAGCATACCACGTGACACACAAAAATCGATGTTTATCTGTGTTTTTTTATTATTTACTTTTAAATCAACAAATTGAGTAATGTATAGTTCTAAAATTTGGATTATTATACCAAATATGATACCAAGCTTATTTACATAAATTCATGAAATAGTAGTTCAATAAAATTTTGAATGAGAGTCAACAAACGAGATGATGTTACCTTTCACCTACGACCTGTCTCAAAAAGGTTAATAACCATTTACTATACTGTTAATGAAGGTGTTTTAGTAACTCTGCATTAAACAGACCAGTGTTGATTGTGCTGTGTTGCACCACATTTAACCTAAAACAATTGATTTTTTTTGTATTATTACATATATCAGGAATTATATTTTGCAATACACATGTAATAGAATATTATTATTTCTTTATTGTAATACTATATCTAAGAGAACATAATTAATTTTGTTTTAGTATTATACACAATGCTAAACAATGGGCTGTCTGTGCTCTGCCCACCATAGGTATTGAAACCTGGTTGTTAGTGTTATAAGCCCTCAGACTTAGGGCTGAGTTACCATAGGGCTAAAAACAGGGAGTGCTGAAGTTCAGAACTGATTTACAGGTAACTCAAAAGCCTGTATTTTTCTTTGAATTATCTGCAAAAGTGACTCAAGATTTTTAAATGTTTTTTTACTGCTGAAGTTATCTAAACTGACTGAGTTTAAGCTAAGAAATAAAACGACTGTACATGGTATGTAATACAAAATGAGAACAATATTTGTATCAAAGATACAACACACAGTGGGCATACTTCTGTTGACAGTGTACAGTTGCCATTCAATACATGGTCTAGTGAATTGAACAACAGATTTTCTTCCCTCAGGATGTCTTCTCATTAACTTCCTTACTTGAGATCCTATGTAGTACTGGTTAAATTTAATGTTTTCTACTTAATGAGAAGCATTGGATTTAATCAAAGTGACTAATTCTACTCATGTGACTGATCATTCTTATTCAAGATTGGGGGAACTGTAAACTTGAGGTATCATTTGACCTACCAGTGAAGGATAATGTTGTCATCTATGTTCGTGCATAAAGTGTAGTGTTATAGCATGCAATACCATGGGCAGAATAGGTATTATTTCCTCTCCAGAGGAACAAATCAGGTAAAATGAAGTCAACTTAGTGACTTCCTGCACCGTATGTTATACAAAAACTGCACGTTCTCAGAATATACTGAACATTTTTAAAAAATTCTATATTAAACATAACAAGATATAAAATGCACAGTATGCCTATCTATGGTCACAAAAAGTTTATTCATTGTTTAATTTTGTAAAGATTTTGAGCTTTTTTGAGACTACTTAATTTGTTCAGACACTTTTAAAAAATTTTTTATGATGCTTCTATGGGCTTATTTCCAGGAATGCTCAACAAACTTGTGATTCTGAAACTATTCCTCGAATGGACTTGACCAGGTGGAGAACAGGCACTCTCACTTTGTTGTTGTTGTTTATAATGTTAAAAAAACAGGTACTCTCACTTTGTTGTTGTTGTTTATAATGTTAAAATTCAATATGAACTGCATATTAACACTTCTTAAAGAATAAAGACTTTTGGTTTGTTAATTCTGTCCAAATTTATAAGTGTTGCCTTATAAAGTATGTATTTTACTTTGTTTATTATCAGCTTTTTAATGAAAGCTGTAACTAAAAACTACTTTTGTGTTTAACAGACACACCAAGCATGTCTATATCAGAAGAAATTTTGGAAGCATCTATTAACCGTGCATTCCATGAAGCTGCAGAGTTACAGCAGACAGAAATGAGAACAGTTTTGACTAATGGTATGACATATGTTAGTCAAGTGTGAACTTCTGGTCATTAATTTAAGGCTTTTATGTCTAGGGTGTAGAATGACTTAACTGGTAGATCATGACATTTAGTAATAGATATAATATAATATCACAATAAGAAATAAGACTAATAATAGATTAAATCATATCTTTACTGGCCAAATAGGGGTTTCCAGTCATTAAAGGAGAGTGTGTAATGGTATTTCAATTGTACCTTGTTTACTGTATTGTACTGTGATGAGGCCTTTTACTCAGTATCAGAGGTTTATAAGGCTGACTGGCTTACAATATATGAAGCCTTAGTTAAAATGCTATTTACTTCGTTATTTAAGAAATAAATATATATATATATATCAGGCTGTAACTAAAGTTCTGACCGATTTTCAAATGAATTTAGACAAACAAAATAGTGATGTTTATAGATGTATTTAATCATCACTATATTCTCCATTGCTTTCGATAACCTTGTTCCATCTGTTAACAAGTTTTTGGATGCCACGTTTATAAAATTCCTTAGGTTTTGACCCGAAATAAGAGATTAACTCATTTTCGACCTCCTTTCTTGAGGTTAGTCTAAGTCCATCAAAATGATTTTGTAAACTCCTAAACAAATGATAGTCAGGAGGAGCAAGGTCGGGAGAATATGGTGGGTGAAGCAATTTTTTCCCAGCCAAGTTCCTTTAGGAGACCCTTGGTTACTAGTGCGGTATGGGGACTTGCATTATTGTGGTGAAGAATGACCCCTTTTCTGTTTGCTAAGGATGAGCGTTTTTTGTCCAACGCTGTTTTCAAATGCCACAGTTGTTGGCAGTAAACCTCTGCTGTGATTGCCTGCTTATTGTTTAACAGTTCATAATGGACAATTCCTTGCATATCCTACCATACACTCAACATGATCTTCCTTGGATGCAAGTCCCCTCTTGGCTGCTGGGCAGGTCTATCACCAAGACTAAGCCACTGACGACGGCACTTAACATTATGATAAAGGATCCATTTCTCATCCCCTGTAACAACTCTGTCAAAAAAAGACACTTGGTGCTGATGTGAATGCAATGCCTCTCAGTAATCGACACATTGTTGGTGATTCTCTACAGACAGGTCCTTTTCAATTCGCGATGGATGGTCATATGGCTAACATTGAATTGTTCGCTAAGATCCCTAACTGTAATGGCAGGATTTGCTGAAACAGCTGCTCCCAGTGCATCTGAATCGAGTCCACTTGGATGACCCTCTCTTTCCTCATCCTTTAAACTGAAGTCTCCATTTCTGAAATGGGAAAACCACCTCCTACAAGTTCTTTTACTTACTGCATTGACACCATAAGTGCTCTGGATAGATATTGCTGCTGCACTTGCATTGACCCCTCTATGAAACTCGTAGAGCATGCCATAACGAATGTGTTCTTTAGTCGGATCAAACATGGGGTGAGTTTGAAAGCGTTTTCTTGAATAATGTTCCCATATCCTGAAAGTAAAAGAGGTGTATTACTTATGTGGGCATGAGTAAGCATCAGATAGAGATCGAAATTAATTAAATCTTGTTCAACATTTTCGGCTCAAAAATCGGACACAACTTTCGTAACAACCTGATATACACAAATATATACTTTATATCACATATACGTTACTACAAAATATCATGCTTTATAAGCTAAACATTTCCTACTGAGTCTTATTGTCACTCAAACAACTAATATGAATAGCATTAATTAAGACTTTGAATATTGCAACCCAATTGGCCTGATAAGCTATGGAATTAGCAAAAGATTTAGTTGGCAATGGTATACAACAAACAAGATCTAGTTGAAATGATACTATACACTCTTCTACTTGAAACCTGAGCCAATACAGAATGATATAATCTAAATTAGTGGTAGTTTAAGAGGTTAAAGTACCTTATAACAACTGCTAGTGGTTTAACCGTTTAGCTCAGTTGATAGAACACTTGCTTCATGTGTGAGAGATTTTGGGTTCGACCCCACTAATGGGTTATGCAAAACTAGAATTACCACAAATTATTATTAGTCTTATGTTGGTAGCATATCACAAATATGTTGTTATTAAATGTCAGGCTCTGCCAGCATTCTACACTCTTAGATTATTTCTCAAAGAATGATATAAATAGCATTTAAACTAAGATGCTGTGTGGTAACCCAGCTGGGCTGATGTACAATGATATTGAAAAAAATGCCCTACTGACAATGAAATACAACAAATAAGGTATAAATGAAATAGTACAATAGACTGTTTTTATTGGAAACCCATACTGGGCCACTAAAGAATGATGTGGTTTACATTATTGTCAGTCTTATTATCATTACATCACACTTATTCTTCTTTTACTTCCAGTGAATGTATCCCATGTTATTCTTATCATTGAACATAATACACTGATGCTTATTGTTTTTATAAACTATGTAGAATAACCACATAAATAATATTATTATGAAATACATAGGATGCATACTTTCAACAGAACCAGTTTGCCATATTACACTTTTTACAATATTTAGGTATCAATACAACTCATGAAACAGTAATAACATTTATATATCAGTAATATTTAGGATAACTTGAGAGAAAACAAAATAAATCAAATTGCTGAGTTAATGACTGATGCATATAAACTTTAGTTGAAAATGTTATCCAGTTAAAATTCCTTTAAAAAAAAGCAGAAACAAAACTGTGTTACTGTTAGTCCTTGAATAAAAGTAAGCAATGTATAAAATAAGTTTAATATATTATCTGTATATTACTCTTACGGTATATATCTTGGCTGTTGCAGCAGGTGAAATTGCTCTTTATTAATTCCTCATTTTCTTAAACTTATATAAATATTAATTTTGTGACTTGGATTTGCACAGTATGGTAATATCAGGAATGTTCCCCATCTTATTAAAATTTCTATTTTAGTATACAAATAAAATAACCATAAAAAAACATTTCAAAGCATAACTGTACTTGGCCTTAGAAGGAAATACATTACAATGCAATTCTGACAAGGCATCTTTTTTTCTTTTGCCATTGCTTAACTTACTGTACAGTTAACTTTCAGGTTGTCCTTTCTAATCAGTAGATGACAAGAACTTTCTTGTTTTTCTAAAAGAAAGATTTGAAAATATTCCTGTGCTGGTCATTTGCAGCAATAAATTGCTAGTAGAGTGTTTTTTTTTCAAGTGATCAAGTTATTATTAATGAATGTGGAAAATGGCTACATTGTTCAAGCAACTTTTGTATAATTATGAAGCTAGGTCCTTAGCCTTCTAAGAGCATTGAAGCTCCTCTCAGCTTCAGCAGAGGAGGCAGGGACAACAAACTTGATCAAAAAAAGTCATGGACCTCAGGCAGCATGTCCCTCAAGATTTTTGGAGCTTCAGTTCTGAAATTGTAGGTGTAATTTAAGATGAACATGGCTAACTGTACATGTAATGACATTCTGGACAACTCTGAGTACTGGTCCACAACACTGTCAATCTCTTCAATGAGGAGAACTTTCTCCAATGTTTCAAAAGTCTGCAGGCCTCTGGTTGAAACGCTCTCTGAACTGCACATTAGCAGTGTCTAGAAGCTTGTAGTACTTTGCTCTGTAGTACTTCAAAGGAGATGTTGGTGCATTTGCATAGCCTTACCAGTAAATTGCTTGGATGGTTTTCTCATGTGTGGCACTGAATTGGCTGGATATTTAAGGAGCTGATTAATCCTTTTGCTTTATTGTGGGCTTTGCTAAAGCTTTTCTCTGTTCTTTTTTTTTGAAAAGAAGTTTTGACACAAACACCTCTGCAGTAAGTATTCCAACAGCAATTTGTGCTCTCTTTTGCAAAGAGATGTTCAGGCTCTCCAATTCCTCCATCACTAGGATTAGTCCTAGGACTGTTTACCCCTTCTGAAATCTTTCCAGAAGTCCATTTGCTTTAGTTGCTGAATTTGATGTTCTAGATTAAGCCATCTCTTCCAAACTAAGCAACACTAGATTGTATTAGTTGAGCACTGACCGAATGGCTGGGGTATGAACAGTCTACTTTGTGGGGCACATCAGTTTCAAAGCAGTATAGGATCCACTCTCAGACTTAGCTATTGCCCTGAATATTACCTTAAATTTTCCTGATTGTCCAACCAAGCATTCCAACTAGTGAACCCACTGCATAGAATCCCAAATCACAGGAGACACTGTACAAGCTGCCTGATTAATGAGATTTACACTATGGACATGTGAAAATATTGTGACTGTTCTTTTCTAAGAAAAGCTTGGGTATCATTGTATGTTTGCGTACAAAGACCAGAACGGAGTAATTTGAGGTACAGTAAGACATCAGTGGCAGCCTTGGATATTCTTTCTGCTGTTGTTGGAAACATTTCATAGAGACCTAGAAATTCTTCATGTGGCACCAGATCCTGATCTACATGGCAGAGCCAGATTGACTCTTGTTCAGTGCCAGATATATCTTGTGTTCCATCAATGATCACTGAATGTGGCAGCAGTTGCAGAGAACTGACTTACTTTGCAGTATCTCTAACAATAGAGTTGCCCATTAAGTTCAGGATCTTGTTTTGAATTGAAGACAGGTATAATCCTGATTACATTTCAACCACATACATAGTTTGGGATCATTCTCTGACCTCAAATTTAGCAGCTGGCTTACATTCCCTCCTTTTCTTCATGACCCCCAAAAAACCCTTGCCATGTCAAAAACTGCACCATGCTTACAATCTTCAGCAGGCAAGATTTTGCCTTCTGTTGCATTGATGCCAAAGCACTGGAGAGCTGGGTGTGTACTGGTTTTGTCTCCTGAACATGAGTTGTTACTGGTACCTCATGCAATTGGCAATCAGCATACTTTGCAGACCTCTTTATGGCTTTTTTACAATTTCTAAATCCTGAGGATACAAATGTAGGGTTTGTATTTTTGGCAAGTGGTGAGTTTTTGTCTCTAAAAGGCTTTTGTGCAATAAAACAAGGACTGTAGTAGTGCTATGAAGAATGTTTGAACCATTTCTCCTGAAAATCCAGAGTCCTATTTGTCAACTTTTGGTCTATAATGAACCTTGGGTTTGGTTGATGTGGGGTATTTCCAAGGTCATCTATTTTCAACCCTTCTAGCTCTATGGTTTCTGCCTCAAATGGCTCTGTGCTGGGCAGATGTTGATGTTCAGCTGATAATTCTCTCTCACTCCCTATTTCTAGCCTCCTTGCTTACACATTCTCTCTCTCTATTTCTCTGTGCCATTGCCGCTGCATCGCCTCCTCTTACAATAAACATAAACATGAAAGCAGAAATACCAAATTCAGGTACCACAGTAAACCTGTTTAACACTTCTTTCTAAACCACCATAGAAATAGGGATTCTTACTTTACAAATAGGCATGTAAAACTGAATGAAGTAATAGTAGCAAAAGTAATATAATTAATAATAATAAGACAAGGAGGAAGAATACAATTCTAATGAGATACTTCTTTAAAGTAGATATACAGACTTTGTTTGAAATTAAGATTTTACTATCTAGGTTAAATAATGTTTTCTCAAGAAAAATGTGGACACATTGAAAAATAAGAACTTGTATAGAAATTATGTTTTGTTATGTCCTAACCACAATTATCTAGTATGTTTATAATAAGAACTTGTATAGAAATTATGTTTTGTTATGTCCTAACCACAATTATCTAGTATGTTTATAATAAGAACTTGTATAGAAATTATGTTTTGTTATGTCCTAACCACAATTATCTAGTATGTTTAATACTTTTAAAAGGGATTGTAATGGGCTGATATTTACAACTGCTTTGTTTGGAAAAAAAAAAATGTCTTATCTCAATTTTTTCCCTTTTTGCTGCTTTTGACATTGTTGGTAACTTCTGTAAACCAAAAATACACATTTAATTTTTAAGATGGCTAACTCTTGGTCCACTTAACACTATTTAGGTGGCCCAGTAAAAATGCTTTGATATATATAACATAACCATTTATTGATACGTTTCTGCTTTTGTAATCTGTAACTTATAAATATTAACCACGATTTCAACGTTGAATCTTAAAATTTAATAAAGAAAAAAAGGATATTTGATTATATTTAGTAAATTTATTAATCAAGAATAATTATATATGGAGCTAAAAAAACATTTCTAAGAACACATTATCACCTAAACCTACACTTTTTGTACAGAAATGATAAAAAAAGATCAAATAAACAAAGAGTCCTTTTGGGGGGTATCAGGGATGTTAATGTACTGCCTGTTCTTTCACAAAACAGCCAGTTAAACAAGTTCCTAACTTACCAAAATTGATAACAAACATCTGATGTTACTTTACTAACTCTTACATTAGCATCATAAAGATTTAATAAATCTGTGAGTGCAAGAGTTTGTTAACTGGTTAGTCTTAGTACTAAACAATTTCACCAATCTTTAAATTCTTTGCTTTTCTGAGTTCTTAGTTGCATATACATTTCGATTCATCCTGTCATTGTGCTTCAAGTATTCATTTCACTTTGTTGAGATTATGTATCAATAATACCAGGCATAAGACTTTCCAAAGTTCAAGAAAGAATAGTAAGTTTATTTACTTACATCCACAGTAGTCACACACATGGAAATCCTTCCTTTGTACAACAAATAGAACAATATGTTTTCGACATTAGTTTCCTATATTTATACTTTTATGATTTTATTCCTTTATGTCTTAATGCTTTAATATCCAAAAAACTGTATTTGCTTCCTGACTATAAACAAGCTCAAACCATGGTGAATTGTGTACTAACTAACTCATAACCAAAACAAGAACAAAAACCAACACTGAGGTTAGATGGCACTGTTGTCTTAAAAAATAAGAATACAAACATTTCTTTTTAAAAGAACTATAATTCAGTTCCTACAGCGAGATTTCTAATCAATTTGAAAAAATGTTCATGATTTGTTGTTTTGTGCTAACAACTAATGTTGTTCACTTTTTACAATTAGACCCTCTTGTCTATGCAGATATTAATTGAGATTTAAAACATTTCAAAACCATACATTTAGCTCACTAGACAGATGATTCTTGTTTCTTCTTCTTTTGTGCCAGTGATCAACTGCCTGTTTGTTTCTTGAACACTGCATGCAAGCTGCACCAAGACTGAGGTAGCTGCAGTGTTATGTGAGTTTCTGCTTGGTCCTAGACTTCCTTTGTTGTGGCAACTGGTTTTATGTAAAAATAATTGAGAGGAAAATGGTTAAGCTAAAAAAACAACATATCCCCGTCTTTCAAAAAAGTGAGGAGTATGATTTCCCCACACTTCAAAAAGTGGTTAGGACATGTCCCCCCTGTAAATTACGTCTGCAAGTGTTGCAATGTGCTTTTGTAGAGGAATCTCTAACATCTTGCTTCGTAAGAGAGTTTATTCTTTTTTTTTATATATTATTGTTAAAGTGCACCATAGATGAATCACAAGCTGAGAGAGAGAATAAAGTGATTGCAGATAAGGTTTTAAGATTAACTTTTCATTGATTATATTCTAGAAATTGGTGTTGCCAAGGAAAGGAGTCCAGAAGCCATACACTTAGGATTTTTGCGACCAAAGATCCAGGCTCAGATAATTTCTAATCATTCATTAGTTCTAGAGCTGGCATCTCAGGGTTTTGTTACTACAATGTTGAACAGGTTCGTTTACCATCTTTTAATGTTTCATAATTAATTAGTTTTAGAACTGGCATTCCTAGGATTTTGCTACTACCATGTTTTAGTGTTTGATGAATATTAAGTCCTTGAATTGTCATCACAGGGTTTTGTCACTACCATTTTGAACAATTACTTTTGCCACCATTTTATGTTTTATAGATATCTAGTTTTAGCAGTAACTTCAGTGGAATTTTTTCTTGGTGAACATATTTATGTTTTTTATTAGTAATGATATAAGATAACTACTTTATTTGTTAAATTTTATTATACAAGTTATTAAATGTACAGGAATTATAGTTTTCACTGTTGAGGAAGACCTTATTTTAAAAATGTTGTCCACATACTTTCTATCAAATCATGAAAACCTTTTAATAATTCTCACAATCTAGAAATCAGAAGTATCAATTCTTTACTCTTTCTGGAACCAAATTTTTAATTTGCAGTAGAGTAAGGAAGTGTTATTGTTGCAATATACATTTTTCTCCATGTATATATATATATATGTGTGTGTGTGTGTTATAGATTTCTAAATCTTTTTTCTTCCAAATTCAAAGTTATTTGTTTCAAAGATTCATATTTCAAAATTATTGGCTACTGAAGCTTTCAACTGGTATACTGGCAATTTGCAACTTGGTTCTTATTGAATTTGATTATAACAACCAATTTTCAGTAAATATGTATACAATGTATCATTCCTACCATTTTAGATTATTAATCTTTAAAAATATATTTATTTGCAGTACTGTTACATTCTTCTTTCTCTTAATTCTGAAACTTGACATATGACTCTATGATGCAATACTTTAAACTGTTGTGTCCTTCTGGAGCTAAAAGCCAGTTGAATATCATCACCAGCTATCATGTTGCATTAGATCCTTTATTGGAGTAATAGACAAATTAATTTAGTTTGGGTAATACATACATGTTTTATGTACTTATGTTTTCAAGTACTTTACTTAGCTAATTACAAAACAGGAACTGTTGATTTGTCTCCATATTGTTGGATTTACTTTGTATATCGTAAACATAGGAATTATTGTTTCATTTAGGGAACAGTAAAATTATTGCTTAATATACCTACTTAATACTGGAATTAATCCTTCAATCCCTAAATTTGCTATGATTTATTGAAATTATTGTTTAGTTTACTTAACAAACACTGGAAGTTTTGTTTGATATTTGTAACAGAAAATGAAATTATAGTTTACTTTATTGAGTGAACACTGAAATTAGTGTTATTTAATAAATTGTTGAATTATCCTTTAACCCTTTTACTACGGGTGGGTGGATTACACCCAGCTCATATCCCCTAAAGTAACCATAAAGTAGTTATACTGTAGCTTGTAATTTTAAAATGTAAAAGTAGCTTCACAAAGTTTTGCAGATTATCAGTAAACATTACAAGGCATTCATACACAAAATATAATATTTTTATATTAATTATTTGTTGGTGTATATTTTCTTTTTGAATGTTGACCGTCCAACATGCAAAGTAATTTTGATTTTAAGATTGAAAATTTCAAATGTGGAATTTCTCTAAGTTCCTAATAATCTCCAGCTAATCATCAAACGTTTTTTGAAAAAACACTTTATATTTTATGTATTATTTTCAGTATTGTATCTCTGTATGGGTTTGATTGACTTGTCTGACCTCTTAACCACCATAAAAAATGAGGAAATAGATATAAATTACTCTTTTTTTCTTCTAGAATGACTACATATTATAACACGAAACCACAAATGTTTAGTCTAAATAGCTAAAATCTCATAACATTATACGTGTATATATATATATTTGTGTGTGTGTTAGTTTATTATTGTTATTTATTGACCTTTTGGCAGTGTCTGACTAACATTACAGAAGTTGCAATGATGTGATACACATGCACTTATGTTACAGTATCCAGTAATAAAAAACTGGCCTTTACTGACCTGTCTTGACTTTGTTTTAGTGGACCAGTATTTTGTAAAATACAGCCACATTTTGGTTATAATACATTATATATGTATATATTATTACTATTTACAAACAAGTTCTTAAGCTTATTTTTTTAAAACATAGAACAGTAAATAAAGAAGTATAGAAAACAATGATTTCTTCTACTTATGAACTTTGTACTTGTTTGCTGCTTGCTGTAATTTGCTAAGCCTTGCCAAATTTCACATGAGATGATGTAAAACAGTTTTTTTAGGTTTTATATATACATTTCGAAATAACAAAAAATCATAACTTACTATATCAATATCACAGAATTCCACTATAATTTATCAGGCTTAGTAACTAAGCTGTATTTGGGTATAAAAATATATGATTTTTCGAGCTTTATAATCTCCTATCTAACTGCTTCAATTCTATCATGAAAAGAAAGGGTTCCCCACATAAACACTTTACAGAGGCTGAGAAAACCACATGGGGGACATTCTGAGCTATCGATTGGTTATACACACGTCCTTGGGTGAAATAGATGCACGTAAGCACATATTTAGAATGAAAGAGTGGGCAGGGCCACTTTGATTGATTCACTAAATATAATAATATCACAGTGAATAAAAAAGATAGGAGGTTCTCATCTTATATTCTAGCTTATCAATATTGGTATTTTGAGTTTCTAATGTGTAAGAAACTATAGACTTTGTATTTGGAAATCACAAGCATCTAATTTGAACCAAAGTTGCATTCAACATACCACTTGACACACAAAAGTCAATATTTAGATGTTTTTAATTTATTTTTAAATTAAGAAATTAACTAATATATAATACTAAAATTTGAACTATAGTCCACACTTTGATGCCAAACGTACTGACAGACATTCCTAAATTAGTAGTTCAATAAAATTTTGAATGTAAGTCTGCAAACATGGTGATATGCCCTTTGATCTCTGACCATAGGAAGACCCATCAGACCCATCTCTGTAGGGTTAAATTATTTATTGTATACTAGAATTATCATTTAGTTTTGAGCACCAGCCAAAGCAAAAGCTCTGTTTCCTCCAATGGACTCCTGTCACAGCATATTAGTCAGTGTGAAGACAAGTAGCATTGCAGTTTAGTTAAGTAAGGCTACACTATCAACTCATAAGGACATATGGGAAAACTGTGACATCATTGTTAGGTTCCAGTTCTAAACAAAAAACTTCTAGTTTTATTTTAATTCAATAAATGTTAATGAATGTTAATGATCTTACAACAGGCAACCAACTAAACGTTCCACACGTGACATCATGCAAGATTTGATGACTGCTTTACCCAACATTGACCTTAAAAAGTTTATTGACCCTCCAGAGGAGATAGGTTGTAATGACGATGGTTTTCAATGTGCTGCTTCTTCAAAGTTCAGAACTTTTTCTGGCCATTGTAATAATATTGAAAATCCAACTTTGGGAAAAAGTATGACAACTTTTGACCGACTTCTTCCTCCACATTATCAGGATGGTAAGTAAGTGCATTTATATAATTTTTCTTTTAAGGAATCTATAATAATGTTGTTTAAATAGAAAAAAAACTTAACACTAGATGCTGCTTATTTGTGTAAATTGTATCTTTTTGGGCAAGCTCTGGAAAAAAATATTACGTCTAGTAAGACATTTGAATTTTAAACATTTTCCCAAATTAAACTTATTTCGGTTTTTTCTTTTTCCTAATAGATATGAGTGCAGCCAGAATCCTGAGTGTTAATGGACAGCCTCTTCCTTCTCCTAGAGTAATCTCAACAACTGTGCATTATGATATAAGCACTCCCCATATTCAAAATTCTCTGCTGTTAATGCAGTTTGCCCAGTTTGTGGACCATGATCTGACATTTACTCCAATGAACCAAGGTTAGTTAGTACTAAATTTTCTTTTATGTGACTTGCTTTTATTACTATGAACTAAAAAAAAATACTGTTTGGTGGGTGCAATACAAATCCACTAATTAACATTTAAAATAGATTAATTTTAACCTAGAAACTTAAGAACATACCTTTGGTTTTTACAACCAATGTGTATCTTACCTTATAAAAAATAATTTAAAACTTTATTCATGTTTTTATTACCAGCATTCATATTTTCCATTTAATATTGTATCCTCTTAGCATAACATTATTTTTAGATTCCCTACGTGCTAAATGTGTTCCAAACACACTTACCTCCTCTCACACTTGTAGTTATTAAACGACTGCCAGGATTTCTTCCTTTGCCCAGCTAATCATTGGTCTGATTTTTTCTCACATGCTCCAGTCTTTTATATCCCACTTAATTGCCCTTGGCGATATTTGTGTCATGACACTCTCCACCTATGTCAATGTGATCTCTATCCTGGTACCTGTACATCTCATGCAGATAATGTTATCGCTTTTTTTCGACAAAGCGTTACTAGTGAGTTTCCCAGTGCTGCGATTGTTTGGAGATATTTTGAATATTCTCTGTGTTACCTAGTTAATTTTCGTAAAAAAAAAAATCCTTTTTTTTTTCCTGATTGGCAATCCGGTTTATAGTATAAATTTACAATTATTATTTCTGACACGGAGCCCAATCAGGTCTATCCCGTCCCACCTCTGATATCTACCGTCGCACAACAATTGAGAGGATCGGTCACTCTCAGTTGAGACTGTCAGTGATATTATTTGTAATGAGATGGAGACATATATTTGACTCCGTGGTGTTCCTTCAGGGTGCTCTGAGGCTGCAGTTGAAGGCAATCCTCGACATTCTGGAGATAATTTACTTTCACTTTTTCCTGCACCTTCGTTTCATCTGTTGGCTTTTCAGTCCCCTCATGGGACAGTGGTAAGTTTATGGTCTTGCAGCTCTGGAGTCCAAGGTTTGATTCCCTATAGTGGACACTGCAGATAACCCAATGCTGCTTTTCTCACACAAAACAAACTTACCTGACTAAATGTTGTTCCAATCAATGTTAATTAACAGTCTTTAAATGAAATACAAAACAACAGAAGGCCACTTTGGGATAAGCTGCCTTTGATTCGTTTTCTTCAGTTGATTCATTGAGCATGTGATGTTTTGGGTCTTTCCCCAGTTGCTTTTATGCCTGCACCTTACTTGAGTGCTGCAAGGTCTGGGAGTGACTGTTTAGTTTTCTCTCTATCCACAGACATTGTGGTTCATGCAGGGAGGTTTACTTATAAGTTATATGAAGGGACAGTTATGCCTTATCCCGACAAGGATGTGAGAAGTTCGTGATTTAGCATACCATCGCCAGAGGGATGCATATTCTGACTCTTAGTACTACATCTGCTCCTTGAATTTTGGGGTTCTATGGCAGAATTTGTAGTTCACCTGAATACATTAATGTCCCTTGATGAGACAGGGTATGTCTATGGTCTTACAACTCTAAACTCCAACCTTTTGTTTTCTTTATACTACTCTTTGTTAGAAATTTCTCATGTTCACCAACTTCATTGATGATGAGCTGGAACCATTGTTTGCATATACATTGGTTCAATTGTTTGCTTCTATATTTATCCCTGTTGTTGTTGGCATCTCGAATTTCATCAGCTCCAACAGGGGATTTTAGTTTCGCCCTTATTCGAGGGTACCCAGAATAGATTCTGTCTATATCCATGGTGGTGTCTTGTGTTTCTCACCAAGGAATTACTTAGTCCAGAGCTTCTTGTTTTCAAATCTTGGGCCTCCTTTCTCAGGAATGCTTCTATCATATCATGCTACTAGCTTGCCATGTTCCATGGATGATGACTGTAGTAGCAGATCGATTCTCTCAACTCACACAGATTCTCCCAACAGAATGGATGCTGCATCACAAAATTCTATTGGATTGGCTCTCATTTTGCCTCTCTGATTAGTGGGTTGGCTTCTCATTGGAACACCTAACGACTGGCAATTTGTTCTCCAGTACCTCACCTTTGGGCTTTGTCAATGAATGCATTCTATCAGGATGGGACAGGATTACTACTTTAGGCCTTCCCTCCAGTTCATGTTACCCAAGGTACTAACTATGTTTGTTCCAACCAATTGTCTGGGCCTGTTGATTTAGGTAAGTTGGTTCACTTATTGCACTGTTTTCAGACCACTGTTCCTCAGGACTCCCCAATGCACATTACCCACCTAATTCTACTATTGGAGCTAGGGAATCCTTACCACATCCAGTTTCCAGTCACTGGGGTGGTGGACAGAGGCTTTTCCTCCATTGTGTTAGAGTGAATTTCCTCTACTCTTGGAGAAGAGGATGACGTTAGGGCCCTCCTACCTACGTGAGAGCCTACTTGTAATACTGGTTCAGATTTAACTCTTGGCTATCCAGTTGGGTTGAGTGTGGACCTTCTTTTTGATCAATACTGGTTCAGTACATTGTTCATGGAATAGGGTTCATTGTCTTCTCTTAATTTTGAAAGCATAGTGGTCCAATCCTGGGTCATTTGTTGAACATAGTTTGTCTCACGTCCTCTGCATAATTATAGGGAGAAGTAGAATATCCCTTGCCCACTTAATTGGGGAGTGAGGATGAGTGTTCGTAATTTCAGATTGGATGAGTTTTGTTTCCTCAGGTTGAGTACGGCATACAAGATCCTGTCATTCTGAGCCTGGGGTGTTGCCTTTCGGACTTCTTCAGGTGGAGGTGAAGGTTTATCCACTTTGGTGTTGCTTACCTTCTCGTCATGATTCCAGTGGCTCGGCATGCATCATTCTATGGCTACAGGTTGGGATACACACATAAGTATATATATATTGCAATTCAATTACTCTAGCCACCAACGTCGGATATTGGGAGCATGATTCCAACCCCGAGCTGTGGAACCTCAGCAATCTGGTTGGGGCCCGGCTTGTAGTGAGGATAAATCATGTAAAATTCCACCCACAATACAAGAATTACTTTCAGGGTGAAGAGCATAGCTGTTCTGGATGTAGTGCAGTTCCCACACACAGTTCGACACACCCATGATCTATGCAGATGCTTCCTGTATGGATGATGCCTTCACTGGCCCCACCACCTTATCAATGTGGGATTCTAGCTATTAGTGTGAGCGGTGGTAAGTATGTTTTGGAGAGCCAGTGTTAGAGACTGGGATTGAGTCTGTATCGAAAAAAGGGATAACATTATTTGAATGAGGTGCTTATATATACTACCAGGGTAGAGGGTGCACTGATGTAGGAGAAACATATTGCCAAGGGCAATTAAATGTGGTATAAAAGACTGGAGCAAGTGAGAAAAAATCAGACCAATACTTAGCTGGGCAAAGGAAGAAACCCTGGCAGTCAAGTAATAGCTATAAGTGTGAAAGAGGTAAGTATTATTGGAAATACATTTTCAATTTAAGAAAATGATAAGTTTCAAACTGTGTATAACAGTTATTGTATGTTCTATGTGTAGCAGTTTTTCATTGCCAATTATTGTATATACTGTTTGTAACAGTTTTAATTTTCACTGCCAGTTATTGTATTTTTTCTATGCAGCACTTAAATTTTAACTGGCTGTTATAATATGTTCTTAGTAGCAGTTTTAATTTTCACTGTCAGTTATTTTGTATTTGTATTTTTTACTGGTGGTTATTGCATGTATTATATATATAGCAGTTTTAATTTCCAATGGAAGATTGTTGTTTTAATTTTCAATAGTGATTAGTGTATGTTCTGTATGTAATAGTTTAAATTTTCACAACCAGTTATTTATGTTCTATATATATATATATATAGCAGCACATTAAGTTTCACTGCCAGGTTATATGTTGTATATATAGTAGTTTTAATTTTCATTCAAGCGTATTGTATATTTTGTATGTAGCAGTGTTTTGATTTTCACTGACAGGCTGTTGTATTAAGGGTGAATGATATTCATTTGTACACATATCTATTGAGCTCTAGTTACAACACAGTATCTGTGATACATACTTCTGCTTTTATCATCAAAAAATCCATAATATGTAAAATTTCTGTAGATTTCTTACATTTTGACATGGTTTCTTGCCTTTATGGATGCAACAATGTTTACATAACTGTGCAGCTGTGCCACCTATGGAATTTCTATTAATGATGCTGTGGTGTTTATTACAGTTCCATTGGGAGTATGTTAATATTTTTGTATGTATAAGAGCTTTAAATTAACAATATGGCAGTATTTATCACAAAAGCCCTGTAACATCTTTAAAAAAATTGTGTTCATCACAGCTTGCATGTTATCTGCTATCAGCATCTCTTTATATCTCTGTTATCGATGTTGAGATGATTATTTCAGACCCCTAGAATATCTTCTAACAAATGTGTTGCTGCTTATAATAAATCTTCTGAGGTTTGTTTTAACAATTTTATGATCATCATAAGTTTTATGGGTTCTATATAAACAGTATTGTGATGTTCAACCCAGGCCCCTTGGGATCAGCTTTGAACTGTAAAAACTGTGAATCTGGACTTGTTGTACATCCAGAATGTTTTCCTATTCGTATACCCAAGAATGACCCATTTTACCCAGTGGTGGACCTGAACACAGGACAGGCTAACTGCATCTCATTTGTACGTTCATTGCCTGGACAGCTTAAATTAGGTAAGTCAGTTGAAACTTGTTAATTAACTGAGCACTCTCTTATGTGTTGTTGGTCTTTCCTTGTAAAGATGTTTTGATAATATTGTAGATGTAGTTAAATAGAAATTAACAGAAATAAAACTACTTTAAAAAAAACTTTATTGTTATTGGTTAATTAAACATGTAGATGTATGTGCTGTTCTGACTAGTAACTAATACTTTAACTATGCTTCAGGACGACGGGAACAAATGAATCAAGTGACAGCATATGTTGACTTATCCCAAGTGTATGGATCTGACAAGTGTGATGCTCAGAAGCTGAGGGCTTTTAATGGTGGAAGGTTGAAATCAACTCATCATCCTGTGGGTGGAAAAGAATTATTACCACAAACTTCTGCTCGTAGTGAATGTAGTAGAGCATCCTCTGGTATCTGCTTCAAAGCTGGTAAATTTTTAGAAGTTAAATTTAAACAAAACAAGTCTTATTTATCATTAATTAATAATACAATCTGAAAATATTGAATCTTTTTAACAACATAATTTTTTATATTATAAAGATATATAAATTATCAGTGATATCAAGATATTCTAAGACTGCTTTTTATGTTATATAACATTTTTGTTATTGAAATTAGTGTTTAAATTATAGTAAATTGAAATCTGCAGCAATTTCATCCAAGTCAGTAAGTGAATTCTAAAAGATACTACTCTTAATGAAATGGGAGTTGCATGTTTACAGGAATAATATTACATTTATTTTACAAAGCAAACTTTGGTTAACTGATAGAATTAAAATAGGTTTTTTCACATAAACATAGTTATCATTAGTTAAATACCACGAGTTATGAAAACATTGTGCTGTTTAATTGGTAACTTGCAATTGGTAATTGGCAATTTTAATTGTCACAGAAACTGTGTGGTGCTACTACATAGACTTTTTTTCTAGAAAATAAATATAAAGGTTTAGTCATAAACAGTAGCTCACTGAAGATGAATATATAAAGTTTTCTATCAGTGAGACTTTCTTAACCATGTATACTTAATATTGCACCTGAACAAACTATTGGATGCAATTCTAGTTACCATTTAAATTCCAAAAGCATCAGAACTCAATGGGCCTAAAATTTGTGATAAAAATCATGTTTACTGCAAATGTTTTGTTTTCCACAATCATTTTAATTTGTCTATTGTGGATTCAAAATCTGAGGCATGTAAAAATAGCATTTCACATTTATTTTGTCCTCCACAAATCACTGCTCAAGAAGCTTTCATTCAATAACAGAACTTGTCACTTGAGCTAGATGATGAGAGAAAACAGATTTGTTAGTAAGTAATATGTGATTTCATTCCAGCCAGGCAATGTGAGAAGATAGAAGTGATGAATGATCATAATGAATATGAAGGCTGATAAAGCTTCATATGACATTGGACAATGTAGATTTAGGGTTTATTTTTATCAGAGTATAAGGAGGGATATTGAATCAACAGTATTAGTATAGAAAGAGCAATTAATTCTCAAGATTGATATAATCTGGTAGCTTTTGCATTGGAGTATCTCATGAGCAAGATCATCTAGCAACTAGGTCAAGACATAAATGTTTAACCAATGGTTTTCAGGCAGTAAGAGTTTCAAGCCTTGGATGGCAATCAGGAAGAGAGAGAAGGTCTCCAAATATGACATTATGGGTCTGGAAACAGTGGGTTAATAAACTAAAGTTGAAGATTTTCAAGATGTACCAAAATCTATGGAAAAGGTTGATAGTCATAAAGTTCCTTAGTTGGATTAGGTAGTTGTATGTTGAAAGTTGTCTGGAGGGCATGATGCTCCAGAATATGCTGTTTGTGGTAAGAGGCTGAAGATGCAGAGATCCATGCAGTGTGGCTATAAGTCAGATACGGTTGAATATTGGCTTTATGCGAATATAATAGGAGGGGTGTATTTAAGCCCCAGGAAGTTCCTGTCAATTGTCAAAGCAGGTGGAGTTGGGAGGAGACCTTTTGTTCAGCAGCCGCTAGATGAGCCTTCCAGATAGATGTATGTCAAATATGACTCAAGGATATTTGGCTGTATTGGAGAGCCATATGGAAATATACTCGATTTGGATATCAAGCATTAACGGGCTTTGACATGATTGAAACATATGGTAGGTTGAGTCAAAGAGAATGGCTTTGGTTTTGCCAATGATAAGATGACAACAGCAATTCCAAACAAAGAACGTGTTGAATGCAGCCTGTAAGACTGGTGAGAGTGGCAATGAGAGCTATGTCATTAGTATGTTGAAAGAGATGGGCCAGAGATTTATGGATAGGCATATCAGCAACATATAATATGCAAAGCAGAGAAACAGAACCTAACCCTGTGGAACTCATGCACCCAAAGAAAAAGGAACAAGAATGAATTACCTCAATAAAAACAATTGCTTGTTCAAGGAGGAGAAAGACATAAAAGCACATTCAAAGTCAAACAACATACATGAAGGTTTAAATGAATAGATCAATGCTCCCGGGTTATACAGCTGTAACTCTGCAGATTTACAACTCTAAAAGCCAACACATTGTTTTCCTAAAACTAAACTTTGTTTGAAGATACTCAGGACCAACAAGACCATTTATGATGAGCTGGACCCATTGTTAGCATGCACATTGGTTTGTTTGTTGGCTTCTACATTCACCCCTTTTGTCATTGGCATCTCGACTTTCATTGGCTTCAACAGGGGTCATAGTTCCACCCCTATTCGAGGGTCCCAATCCGCAACATCAGACTTGGTCCATTGTTACCCAGAGTAGATTCTGTCCATATCCAAGAAACACAGCCAGCAGCTTCAGTGATTTTTGTATACCTTCAGGGTCTGTGGGAGGCTCAGTTCCAAGAATTTTCAAATGAGTGGTAAACTTTAACCATGAATCAATGGGCATTACAGGTCCTTGAGTTAGGTTTAGTCATTCAGTTCACATCTTCACCACCATTATACACTCAATATGTATGGCTTCCATCTGTTGCATATCCTCAGATTTTTGGAACTTAGTTCTAGGGCTATCAGTGTTTGGTTGGTCTGGGGATAGATAGAGTCATGCCAATTCTTCCGGGGTTTTATTCCTGTTGGTTTGTTGGGCCCAAGAAAACAGGAGTTTGGTGTCCATTTATCGATTTTTTTCGTGTATATCAGTTCCTAGATTGTCCAAGGTTCATAAGGTACTCATTCCTCACTCTAAGTTGGCATTTTTTACTAGGATTGTGGATGGCCAAGTTTGATTTAGTCAGATCCTACTTGCACATTTCCGTAGTGATGGCATCCCACCACTATCGAGTTTTTGTGCACAAGGGTCAAGTACTGCAGTTTGGGGTTTTTACATTAGGACTAGCATCAACACCATATGGGTTCTGCCAAATCGTACAAGCGTTTTCTTGTCACCTCTATTCCCTAGCCCTGTGCACACACCATTTCATGAACCACTGGTTACTGTTGGCACCATCTCATCAATTGTCAGAATGTCACACCCGGATTCTGCTTTCAGAAACCACCAAAGCAGGCTTTATTGTTAAACCTGAGACATCTATTCTTGCTTAAATTCAATATGTCATCAGTCTGAGTATTTGTTTTTCATTGTATATCTCAGTCGGGCTCAGCTGACTCCTACCCAGCTCCACACTAGGAAACAGGAAGCCCGACTTTTACTCACCTCTCCTTCTCCACTGCATGGATGTTTCTTTCTCTTTTGGTAATGGGGGGATCACTCAAATCCCTCCAGCCTTTGGGATGAGTGTACAAGAGATCCTTTCATTGGTCTTTATGCAACCAAGGGATCATAAACATCGATTCAGTGGATTCTATGGTTTCCTCTGTCAGAATCTTTCTTTGAACTTGAGGGACTGTTAAGTCAGAATGCCTCTATATGGGTTCCTATACTGCACCTCATCCAGATTAGCATCTCTTCACGAATGCTTCACTTCAGGGATGGGGTGCTTATCTAAACAGTCAGGAATTCCAGGGTCTATGTATGGATGATGAGGCTTCCCTTCACACTGTTTCAGACCTTCTTGCACTTCAAAAGACGATGCCTCATGGTCTGGGCTTATTAAGGGGAAGGAAAATCTTTAGGCCTCACTCCAACAGTTCCATGATAGTGTCTTGCATTTCCTGTTAAGGTGGCACTTGATCCAGTGCTCCTTGTTTTCTCATCTTGGATCTCCTTTCTCGGGACTACTCCTATCATATCATCCTACTAGCTTGCCATATTACACAGGTAATGAATGCAGTAGCAGATCAATTATCTCCACCCAAACAGATTCTCCCAACAGAATAGATGCTGCATCACAAGGTTTTCTGTTGGTTGGCTCTCATTTTGCAATACTGATGATTGGTGGTTTGGCCACTCTTTGGAACACCCCACTACTGGCACTTTGGTCTCCAGTACCACACCCTCAGGCTTTGGACAGAATTACAACTCTAGGCCTTCCTTCCAATTCGTATGTTACCCAAGGTACATTATATGATTTGTTCGTACCCATTGTCGGGTCCTATTGATAGCATCAGATTGGTACTACACCCTGGTTTCTGCTTCTGTGGTACTTTCAGGAGTGCCCACCTCTTCTACTTTCTACTTGGCCATCTCTGTGGAAGCAGCCATGATCAGAAATTGTACACCCGGCTATCAAGAAGCTCAAGCTTCTGGGATGGAGGTTATGCAGTCCTTCACATGGCACCAAATTTTAAATTCTAAGGTTGCCATGTATCTGTTTAAGTCTTTACATAGTCTCACAATAGACAGTTATCAACTAAAATAGCACACACATTTGAAATGGTGTATTTAGAGGAGACTGAACTCACTTTGATAAGAAATGCCAATCATAACTCCTTAATTGACTGGGCTCTTTGGCAAGGGTTTTTGCACCTTCCGCAATTGCCCATATAAGGTGGCCTTATCAACTACCATTTGACACTTGACACAAAAATTCTTTGAGTTCCCAGTACTCTGGCTTCCCCAAATGACCATTCAAGTTACCTAACTGGTATATTGAGGTTACATTACATGCCATTTCTCAACACCTGTTGTGACCATTAGCCTCATGTGCTATATATCGCCTTTCCTTGAAGGTTTATCTTTCATTGCTGCTGACCTACAGACATCACTGGTCAGAGTGGTTTGTGCTGACTGGGCAAAGTATGTTTTATCATTCTACCTATATCCTTTACCAGTTCTTTATTCCTAAGACACTATCAGACAGGGAAGAGAATATATCCTTTTCACCAATTCATCTGATCACAATTTCTCACTTTTATGACTGATCAGATTTCAATCGTTTGTTATGTCCAGTGAGAGTCTTGAAGGTTTTGTTGCCCACATTAATGCCTTTAGAGATGCTAGACAATGACTATTCATTCACTGGGATCATTTAGTTGTCCAGGGTTTATCACTGGTACATTGTGCAGGTCGGTATGTTGGTGAGAGCCTACTTGTAATACTGGTTCAGATTTAACTGTTGGCTATCCAGTTGGGTTGAGTGTGGACCTTCTTTTTGATCAATACTGGTTCAGTACATTGTTTGTGGAGTAGGGTTCATTGTCTTCTCTTAATTCTGAAAGCATAGTGGTCCAATCCTGGGTCATTTGTTGAGCACAGTTTGTCCCACGTCCTCCACATAATTCCAGGGACAAGTAGAATTTACCTTGTCCACTTAGTTGGGGAGTGAGGATGAGTGTGCATCATTCTAAAGCTGATGAGTTTATAATAAAAATGTTTCACGAGGCACACACGTGAGCAGCTTGTGGGTAATGTAATTTGTTAGCGTAACATGAGCTTCATGTTTCCCGAGTAATTTACAACTTATAATGGTGCAGATAGTAGTTAGACACAGTTCAAAGGGCGATAAAACAATAACATTTAATTTTAAATAGATCTATACTGTTACGAACTTAGAGCTACTTAAAAATGTAGTTTCATGCTACAATTTGAAATCATTCTAGAAAGAAAAAAGGTAATTTCGATTTATTTTGATTTTCTGTTTCTGGTGGTTACGAGGTTGGTTTAATTGACCAATTCCGTTTTGAGATAGGGTAGAGAAAATAACAGGTAAAATATAAAGTTTTAGTGAAAACATAACATTTGAAATGCATTTAGGAGGTTTTAGGGATTACACAAAGGAAATTTGAGATTTTTGAGATGAGAAAAAGTATTTTAAATTTTAACATGAAAATTACTTTGCACATGGACTATTCAAAACAAATACTCAATATGTTCATGGACAAGGCTTTATTTTATTTTATTAAAAATGCTTCACTAAAAATATATATAATTTTTTAATTTGAAAGACATAAATTTAACTGAAAGACTGCCAAATTTTGTGAAGATATACACACACTGTATTGAAAGCTATAAGTATTAAATCTATAAAGACTATAAATGAGTACAAAGAGGTCACATGGTTGGTCAAATTGACCAAGCCTGTATTGAGAGAGTTAAGTGTGGTATAAAAGACTGGAGCAAGTGAGAGAAAATCAAACCAATGATTAGATGGGCAAAGGAAGAAACCCTGGCAGTCAAGTAATAGCTATAGTGTGAGAGAAGATAAGTATTATTGAAAATACATTTTCAATTTAAGAAAATTTTAACTCTGAAGCATTATTTATGCAGTATAATACTTTAAAAGTTACGGTATCAATGCCAAAAACTGGTAAAGCATCAGGAACTAATAATCATGTTACCTTGAAATTTTTTTCCACATTCCTCTTAATTTGTCAGTTCCAAATGAGAAGCATGTTAAAATAGAATTTCAGGTCTTTTGTTTCTCACAAATCTGTTTAATGATTTTAATTTGGCACTATAGCTACAGCCATCTATTTTTGTGCATATATGAGGTTTTAGGAAGTTACATTCAAAATTTAATTAAACTACTTTCTTGTCATGGTATACAAATAAACTTGGCATAAAAGAAAGCTAATAATTCTAATTTTAATAATTTATAAGTTTTAAGTTCATAATTAATAGATTAATAAGTTGATATTAATAAAAAAACCTAAATTTCTCTAGTAGGAGAATTGTGACATTTTGTTTCTAGGAATCCCCTCTTCTATAATTTATTTACCACCCCTCAGAGAAGTACAAAATTTAATGTAAATTTTCTCATTATAATGTCATTGCTCAGACAAAACAATTTTTATAGCCTTCAATCTTATTTGGTTACAGAGTCAGATTTATTTTGATTTTTTTTTTTTGGTGGTTACTAGGTCAATCAAATTGACCAATTTCATATAGAGTAAGGATAGAGAAAATAATGGATAAAATTTAAAGTTTTGCTGGGAAAAAATGTTTAATATTTATTTAGGAGGTTTTAGATATTACACAAATTACATTTGAGATTTTTCAGATGAATAAAAGTATTTTTAAACTCAACATGAAAATCCCCTTGCACTCTGAGCAGTCAACACTTTGACTCCATATTTTCAGTGATATAATGCTAAATAAAGAAGTGAGGGAACGCATTTTGAAATTGTTACTATTATTAGTATTTATTATATCACCTATATATATAAAAACATATATTTCAGAAATAGTAGCTGTAAATTGTAATTGAAATCTACATTTGAAAATGTTATAATAGAAAAATTAATTTTCTCTCACCTTAAACTTTTGAATTCCTGTAGAAGTTATTAACAGAACTTACAAACTTGGTCCATAGTGAGTTCCTTGGACTTGACTACTCATGTTTATGTATTAGTTGTTGAATGATGACACCTAAGCTATTTGTATACATAGTCATCTGGTTTCCAGTTTTGTTTTTTCTTCTGAAAAATGATTGCAGGGATGTTTATGTTTTCACTCATTTTTTAAGGCCACAATATAGTTCTTCTTTCTTTTAGATAAAAGAAAGATTAATTAAATGAACAGATTCCTAGGCAACCATAGCCTACAATACCCAAATTGAGCCTCTGTTAAGAATTAAAATAAAAATGAACTTGATTTATACATAATCTGTTGTTTTGTCAAGGCATTGTGCAGTGGGAAAAATGTTCCAATGTACCATGTGTTAAAGCTATTAATTATAGATTCTATATACATTATAAATAATGATTACTTACTTGCAGATAACACTTCATAAATACTGGTTGAACTTAGTTCTCTGATGAATAATATGCTTCTAAGGTGATTAGCAAGAAGGCTAAATTAGAAATACTAGGAAATCAAAATGGATTATATTTATATTACTGGAAACTAAGCATTTATTGGTTACTGTGTACAGTAAAATAGGAAATATGATGTTCATAAGCTCTTACACACTTTTACACATACACTGCTAAATCCTAACAAATTTATTGGATCAGATCAGACTTTGTACAGAGCCATATCCTAATATTTTCTCTCACGTTTAGATAGTACTTTAGACAATGCTCATTTCAATTACTGTACTACAAACAATCTGATAAACCCTATTCCACCATGTTTTTTGAAGCTGGGAAAATTCTGGAAATTGTGCCACTTGAGCTTATTTGCTATCAACAGTGTCATGTAAACAGTCTAATGCAAAAGTGGCGATTCACTGCTTTAGTTTTGAAAGGTTTCTACTTCAGCCGCTAATAGTAACATCAATATAGGAAGTAGCTGTGAAAAGATTAGAAATAGAAATTCTTAGGAGGTTTATTTTGGAATTTCCTGGTCCATACTGAAAAGTCCCAACCATACTATTCATTTTGTTTCTTCAAGTTTCTAAGTCAGCTGCTAATGATATAATAACTACAGAAAATATGTGTGAAAAGGTGAGAAGTATAAACTCTTACCATAAGTACTAACAGAACTACATATGTTATTTTTCATTTTGTGATATTTTCTTTTATTATTTGCCTACAACCTGGATGAAAGGGTTAATGATTCTTTCTTCTATGGGTAGGCAAAACTTCATGAAGTTAGAGATTTGTAAGGTTGGATTCAATCGAAATAGTGAGGGAACGTCGTTCCAGGCAAAAAAAAAGTAAGGGTATGCTGTTCCCACACCACTGCATATGTTAATGGAGATATTTTTAGTGAAAATACTTCCTTAAAAATTCTGATATTAAGTCTACAAATGACTCGTGATGATTACTGAAAGCTTGCAAACTTTTATGAAGATACACAAAACATTAAAAGTTTAGTATGGAAACTATAAAAGGTCGATTTGTGGTCATAAACTCAGCTGATTTGACTGAGCCCATGGAGTTAAAATAGTTTTGTTATTGTACCACATTGATCTTACTGAGGAAAACCACCTGATGTCAATTTTACACACATTACTGATGTAAGTTTTGAAAAAAAAAACATTTGGGCAAAATTGATATATGACATTTCTACCTTTCAGTCTTCTTTTTTTTATCTAGGTGACACTCGTGCCAGTGAACAGCCAGGCTTAACAGTACTGCACACAGTCTTCTTACGAGAACACAACAGGATTGTAGGAAATCTTCAGAGGATTAATCAACATTGGAGTGATGAAGATCTTTACAATAATGGTGAGTAGCTTATAATATATTCTGATGATATGTGAGAGAACTATTTTTCTATCATCTTAAATCATGCATTCAACCTACTTACATTTTCAGTTGTATTATCTTATCATTTCTTACAGGACGTCGGATTCTTTCGGCAGTCATGCAACATGTGATCTACAGTGAGTTTTTACCTCGCATCTTGGGTTGGGAGATGGTCACAAAGTTCAAGTTGAAGCTAAAATCTGAAGGATATTACAAGAGCTACAACCCTTCCTGTAAACCTGGAATATATAATGAGTTCTCTACTGCTGCCTTCCGTTTTGGTCACAGTCTCATCAAGCCAGTATTTCAGCGTATGGAAAGAAAATATCAGACATTAAAAACTCCTTTCCAGCTGAGGAATGGGTTCTTCAATTCAGATGTGTTGTTTCAGCGTATGTATAAAAGCACACATTTTTACATATATTAACTTATCTGGCAGTAGTTTATGAAAACCTGTAGTGACATAGGGATATTGTGAGATGGAACTGATCAAATACACCCATTGAAGTTGCAGGCAAGTTGCCTGATATGCCATATCGATATCCAGTTAAGAAAGTTATTTGTCACACTGTTAGTGAATTTTATTTGCATAAATAGTGTTGGAATGCTTAATGTTCTTATTAGTAGTTTAAATATGTATATTGTCCCTAAATAATTATTTTAATTGCATAGATTGTCCCTCAGTAAAAACTTTGCATATTCAGATTGTTCTTAGATAATGAAATAGAATGTGCATATAATTCCTCAATAAGCAGTTTAGGTATACAGATTAATAAATAGAAAAATTAAATGGTGATAAAATAAAAAATTAGATTTTTGGAGATAAATCACTTTAAAAAACTATGTTTCTAATTTATTTTCTTGTTTCTGGCTTGAAAAAGAGCATTTGCTTGAAAAATTGCCAAGAAAATAAATCGTAAGCATAATTTTTAAATTATCTCCAAAAGTCTAATTTCTTTAAGTATACTGTTTGTCCTAAATAGGCATTCTGACCCAATACTTTACTTCCACTTGTATAATAGCATTTCCCGTTCAGTGCTGCCTTGTTTATGCACAAATCTTTTTCTTACCATTAGCCTTGATACTCCCACCTACCTCACTTTTTTAACATGGTACAGCTGTGTTGTAGCATGCAAATATCATGTGACAACTCTCCTGTTGCAGCTGGCCCCCTCTATACTGTAGAAACGAATCCTCGCTTCTTGATTTGGTGCAGTAGAATGCAAATGTTTCACAATTTCATTTGTATTTGCTTAATATTTTGTGTTAATAGTTTAATTAGTTAAACAACTTTCTTAGTTTCTAGTTTTTCTCAGCAATTTTTATTTGTTTCCACAGTTAAGCTCTATACTGTATGTTGATATTTTATTATTCACTCTTAATTGAATTTCGATTTCCCAATTTCAATTTACAACAACTACTACTGTTGATCATACTGCCATTGTACTTCAACCTGCAATTTCTTAGGCTTCATGCTTTCTGCTGCGGAGGTATCAGTTTTTCGAACATCATGAGTTGGAGTTCATTGTGCAGAGTGCTGTGTCTTCTGATCACATACCAGATTTTCCTTTTTCTGGGGAACCTTTACAGGACAATGCCAATTTGAATAGCCTGTTTTCTCCTCCTTCCTTTGCTATGCAATCCCAAATTCCTACTGTGGAAGCTTCCAGTCTGTCTTCCTAGATATGGTGTCACAGGTATGTTACCTCTTCTCTACATCCCCTATGTCTAATGATTCCTCTCCTTTCCTCCTGAATTCCACTCCTTCCTCAGATTAGCTAGTATTATTCCTTCTCCAGAGGTCAGGTACATGCAGACTTGTTTATTTCACTATTATGTTCTGGTATCTGCGTGCCTCGTACCCCTCATCTCATGGATGCTTACGAATTAGTGTACCATCATTCTGATTTTCTGTTTATGGACTCTCAGACCTTGCAGGTTTTTATTTTGGTATGGGGATCTGTCCTTGATACCACTGTGAAATATTTCCCAGGTTTAAATTTCCCATCTCCAATTGATCCTAACCAACCTCCTGCATTACCTCTCCTCAATCCATCTCATATTCATGGTTATCCACCACTCCCCTAATTAGCGATTGTTGAATAATATTTTCCTTCTCATGTATTCCATATTGGCATGCTTATTTTTCGTGGCCCCTCCCTACATCCTTGACTCCTTTGTCTTTGGGACATCCTGGTTTGGAATGCACTTTTAGCTAATATGCACCTACCCATGTCTTATTTCTAGGTTCTTTTTATGGCTCCATTTTTATTCTCTCCCTCTTTTACTACACATGAAGTTCTTTCTCTTTTGGGGATATATGCATTTGTCTGGACTCTTGTGAGACAGTCTGGACTCTCCATATGCATAGCATCCTTTCTTTCCCATTCAGTCTGTTCTTTCTCCTTACCAGTGTATGAGATTAATTGGCATGTGCTTCATTGTTAGTCTCTATGCCATGGTTACCTCCCTTCCCATCCTAGTGTGCTATACATGTTTTTTTACAACTTTACCTGGCTGTTTCACAGTGGTTCTTCTGTAGCTATTATTGCTGGTTATCTGGCTGCTTTATCCAATATATTCCATTTTTACCTTTCCTCTTCTGTCTTCTCTCTCTTGTTTTGCTCCTTTAACCTTCTTCATCGATCTCATCCTACACTCTTCCAGTTTGGAACTTTCAAATAGTTGTTGAGGCCCTTAACAAACTTACTTTTGAGCCCTTGTATACCTGTTTAGCATACCACTTGTCCTGGATATCCTATTTTTTCTTCTTTTTTTGCCTGTGGTTTGTCATAGGTCAGATGTTTTTGGTCCTCAACGTTTCACATATCTTTTACCACCACACCATGTTTCTCCTGTATCTAAATCACAGTTTTTTACTGCAACAATCGTGACTCTGGAATGTGACTTCACATTCACAACTATTTCCCACTCTGAACTGCATCATCTTCTCTGTCTTATTCATGCTCTCCGGTGCTATATTGTCTGCACCGCTTCCTTCTGTGATTCCCATTCTCACCTGTTTATCCAATAGAACCCTTCCTCTACCCAAGATATTTCTCCTATCACCCTTATAGATTGGATTCGTCAGTTTATAGGGTTGATTTATTTTTCTTTCTCTCCTGTCTCCCAATGTCTTTTTCTGGTAGGTATCCTTGCATCAGATCCAGCTCGTCATCCTCTCTTTGATTGCCTACTGGGGAAGGTCATCCAGGCTGGCATGTGTACCATGGCACACACCTTCATTCCTCATTACTTCTTCATGTGGCCTTTTTCTCCTCATCAGGATACCGAATACTGCCCATTTCCATCCTCCACAAATAGGTTCATTTATGAATGAGTAAATATTTTTATATATGTTTATTTCCTTACAGTGGACCAATTTTACCTGTTGAATCCTGCTCTGTAGCAAGTGGTACCTGTCCAGGTATAATAATCCATAAATCCACAATCTATGGCCTTTCAGGTGTATAATGCCCACTGTTGTGATGGGCATTCCACAGGACTGCTTGTAAGTTCATCCTTGAGGAATACTGCATTATATATGCACATCCATCACAGAGTGTACCATTACATGGACTATCATGAGTAAAGCAGTGTCGGGATAGATGTCCATCCCTTCAATCCTAGTTGAATAATTTGGTACTGGTGTGCTTTTAAAAAGTGGGTTTCATTTTCCCCATTGCACTTTTTCCAGTGTTGTGTTCCTTCAGGCTCCTTACCTCATTATCTCCCCCTCTTGAAGTGGAGTACAGGAGCCCTTACCACTTACAAACTCCTAGCTGCTGGACCATGGGAACATCCTCCTGAGTGTGCTCAATCCCATTCAGTTGAGAGTAAAGGTCAGTGGTGTTCTGTCGATATAGATGGTGTGAACCCTTCTCCAAGCAAAGACAATACCTGGTTCAGATGTGATGCAGTCTCCCACAGGTATATTTCTCTTTGGATGCTTTCTGAAGGGTACTCATGTAGGTAAATTTTGAATTGGCCCCTCCACCATGTCAGTGTCGAATTATGGCTATTATGGAAATGGAGGTAAGGTATCATATTAGAAGTTAACTTTTTCCTACACTGAAAATATATTTCTGATAGCTTCTTTCACCGTAAGTCCCCACTTTTAGTGGTTCTTTTCTATGTAATCTCAAAGTGAAGATTTGGTTCAACATTATAGAGGGAACTAGCTGTAACAGGAAAGTGTGTTGCACTCCTGTTGATGGATGGTTGTTACATGATCATTTGCATGCTACAATGCAGCCATACCATGTTAAACACCATGTATAGGTTGTCTCTGAGTAAGTATTTTAAATGTATACATTTTCTCTACAAAATCTTCACCTATTTGTTCTGAACACATTTATTGTTTAAAATAAGAAATTATTTATTTCAATTGCTTTGAACCATTAATCTAATTTCTGAATTTCTTGCCTGACCTCAGGAAATTTTCTAGACCAGATGATGCGAGGTCTGGTAGCTACAAGTATGGAAACTTTGGACAATACCATCACGCAGGAAGTGACCAATCATTTATTTGAAGATAGTCTCACTCCATTCTCAGGAATGGATTTAGCAGCTCTAAACTTGCAACGAGGGCGGGACCATGGACTACAACCATATAACAGCTACCGTGAAATCTGTAACCTCACTAAAGCACGCCAGTTTGAAGACTTAGCCAATGAAATGCCTGGAAATATTATTGAGAATCTTCGGCAGGTGTATGAGTGAGTATCTGTTATCACTCATTTTGTATTTCTAATTAATTTTAACTTTTAATAAATACATAGGGTTAATGTCCAATTGTTGGCATTTCAGATCACACAATGGATCATCAGGTGCTTTATTTGAATAAATACTGGGCATGATTTGAACATTATTTTATAACAAATATTTTGGTTTTTTATATATAAAGTAAATTTCAATTATTCTTTGTCTTGTGAATTGTTCTTATGAATAATATTAAAATATTAAGGGTTTCTTTCACCTCTGAAAATATATCATATTTTATTCCCATTAACCTGATGACTACCAGCTACTAACTTTCTTAGTAGCCAGTGCAAGTCTTGCTATATTTCATTCCAACAATAAAACTAGTGGGTGAAACTGTTTGAAACTTCATAAGAACTTTCATAAATGCATGTAGTTTAAGAAACATAAAGCCTGTTACTTTTGATAAATTTAGTTTTTTTGCATTATGATCTTTAATATCTTGGAAAATTACATTAGGAAATGGTATTTATAAGAAATAATTATGATATTTATGTTTCTTCCAGATTTGAAGTGATCACTTTTTATGTTTTAGTAAATTATTTTGCAATCCCAAAAAATTTGTATAGACCATAAATTGCAAATTTTATCTATTTATAATTTTTTAATAATCACATCACCATCCTTATGGTTTCAAGTAATATATAAGACCCAAAAATAATATTTGTAAATAAACCTAAACAATAGATGAGTATTTTTATTTTTAATGCGAGGTCTGGTAGCTACAAGTATGGAAACTTTGGACAATACCATCACGCAGGAAGTGACCAATCATTTATTTGAAGATAGTCTCACTCCATTCTCAGGAATGGATTTAGCAGCTCTAAACTTGCAACATAAATGTTTATGTTTCATTGCAGCCATACTTTTTTTTATTGTGCTGAATAAACCATGGGGTCAGCAGTGTGAACTTTGTATGTTGTCCGTAACTATCTCACCCCTGTTGGGGGTCACTTTCATTCAGCCAAGCACGTGCGCATTTGAACGTTACTGTAGATATGATAATAAGAAAGCTTTTTGGTACTTGAATATCATTTATTTGAACTTTCAAACAAGTTTATTTCAACATATGTCCTTGTATGTTGTTTCACTATACAGAGAAACCTAATTGCCACTACTAGTGAGTGGTAGTAGCTTACAGTACAGGTAGTTTCAATAACATCGCTTAATCCTTGTTCCTTGATACATCCTGTTAGAAGAGATTACCAAACAATACAGACACCATAAATTATAAAGAAAATTACTTTACAGCACTTAAAATATTAGTCTGGTCACATTCCTCTCATTATAGGCAAGATTTATGTTGGAATTTGAAACTTAAGCCCGTCAATGTATTTCACCCCAACTGTGAGAATGTCATAGCTTTCCTTGTATTATTGAAACGAATGTGTGTAGTCTGTTTCACAACCAATATATGGGCTTTATTGTTGTCACTTGTACACTAAGTTTTAACACATTTATAAAATAATCGTACAAGAATAAAAACTTCATTTACCAAGAGAACCTACATACACACCGCAAATCGTGAGTCTTCGCTAAAATCGTGAAATTGGAGCACTTCAAATTTCATCTAAGGTAAGATGGGCTTTATTTATTTATACATAATAGTTATACATATTCAAAGATGTTATGTTGCTAAGGATGAATAATTAAACAAGATAACTTTATTGAAATTAGTTTCACTTTATTTTATTTTAGTTTATACACACATATATCACCATCATATATGGAGGGATACCTTTCAGTAATGTAATGTCAGAAGTATTTACATATTTATGTATAAACTGTTTATATGTATTAGTTCTACCTGCTCCTTACACAGAATAATAGTTTCTTGCATTTATTTTTAGTTTCCTGGATATCAAGAATAAAGAGGTAGATTGAAGTATCTCCCAACATATACTTGGATATCACATAAAGTAAGATGTATGCTTTTATATATAGCACATAATTTGTAAATTTCCATGGTGTATTTCTTACTTTTGGTGATAAATTAAATCAGATTCATTAGTAGTACATCATATGAATTAGTTTTTACTATATTTTGTGATTTTGCTTATGTCCATACACATACAAACAAAATGTACATTTGTTAGATGTATTCTT